AAATTAACATATGGGTTGAAACAGGCTTCTAGATAATGGTATCTTAAGTTCAATGATACCATCATGTCATATGATTTTGTAGATAATACTGTTGACCAATGTATCTATATGAAGGTCAGTGGGAGCAAGTTCATCATTTTAGTCCTGTATGTTGATGACATTCTTCTTGCTACTAATGATGTTGGGTTGTTGCATGATGTAAAGAAGTTTCTATCTAAGAACTTTGAGATGAAAGATATGGGTTAGGCCTCCTGTGTGATTGGAATAGAAATATTCCATAATAGATCACAAGGATTGCTGGGATTGTCTCAGAAAGGATACATCAATAAAGTATTAGAGAGATTCAAAATGGAAAAGTGCTCATCAGGGGTGGTTCCAATTCAAACGGGAGACAAGTTTTGTGAAATGCAGTGTCCCAAGAATGAGTTGAAGCGGAAAGCAATGGAATATATTCCCTATGTATCAGTGGTCGAGAGTTTAATGTATGCTCAAACATGCACTCGGCCTGATATCAGTTTTGTTGTTAGAATTTTAGGCCGATATCAAAGTAATCCCAGAATGGACCACTAGAAGGCTGTAAAGAAAGTCCTTAGGTATTTACAAGGCACCAAAGACTACATGCTTATTTATAGGAGATCTAGTCGCCTAGAAGTGGTTGACTACTCGGATTCAGACTATGCTGAATGTGTAGACTCAAGGAAATCAACCTTTGGCTACATCTTTTTGTTGACTGGAGGTGCGATTTCATGAAAGAGTGGAAAGGAATCCATTATTGCTATGTCTACTATGGAAGCAGAATTTATGGCATGCTTTGAGGCCACTATTCATGCTTTGTAGCTGCAGAACTTTGTCTTAGGGCTTGGTGTTGTTGATAATATAGAAAAGCTGCTAAGAATGTACTGTGACAATTCTACAGCTGTCTTCTTCTCTAAGAATGACAAGTATTCAAAGGGAGCAAAACATATGGACTTAAAATACTTATCAATGAAAGAAGAAGTTCAGAAACAGAAAGTGTCTATTGAGCATATTGGTACTGATTTAATGATAGCGGATCCGTTAACTAAGGAATTGTCCCCTAAAACATTTTCTGGCCATGTTGGTAGAATGGGCATTATAGACAAGTCCTTGTTAGCATGATTGTGTGATTCACAGATATGTGTATAGATTGTTTTGCTCATGTTATTGCAGATATTTTTAGAAATTCAATAAAAGTATTGTTTCTGCTTGTTTACTTGTTATCTGAATTGTGTTAATGTACATGTATGGTTTGAGTTTGATAATAGGTTGAGTGTTAAAAACACATCAGAGTTACAGTATGTAGTATGACTGATTAAAGCTATTTTGATTTGAGTTGATTCTGTGATACTTGGAAGGAATCATGTCGTTAAATGACTTGTGACCACCATGATCCGATTAACTTAAATCATTAAAAGATGATAACTTGATGTTATCAATGATATGCGCACTTACAGCTCATTGAATCTTCAAGTCGTCACATAGGTCAAGTGGAAGATTGTTAGATTATTTTAATAATCATATATTATTGTGGCTTATGTAACTTATAATATGACTTTAATTAATGATTTAATGTGATGGTGGTTAAATATAAAATATAGAGTCATAAAGAGTATAATTATAAATACATTATAAGAAAACTCTCTCCTCTCCTTTCAGATAAATAAAAGAGCGGTTATCAAATAGGGGTTACGACATTCTCTATTTTCTATCACTATCTAAGTGTACTCACAGTAAACGCAAGAAAAGAACTTTCTCTCAACCATTCGAGAAGAGCTAAAAGAGAAAGGAAGCGAAGGGGAAGATACAAAACGACATCAAAGAAAGAGATAACATCAAGAAACAATGGATTCATGTTAGTGCTCTCTAAATTCTTAATTGTATGAGAACCATGTATTGTGTTTTTGAGAATAACGTAATTCAAGATCTAATAAAAAATAATAATTTTATAATACTCATTGCATAATAAAAATTACATAATTAATTAAGAAAATTCTAACATAAAAGGAATATACAAAAAGCCAGTGTTTTCCCATTTAGTTACATGAATAAATTAAATATCATGCCATAATATTACTGTAAATTATGTCTTTAAACAAATATATCTTTACATTTTTTAATAATATATTTTATCGGCCTCCTTTTACTTCTACCAATTGATCTATCTATTTTTTCCCCTTCATTTACTGTTCACCAATTGGAGGTTTCCACAGTGATTCTTTATGCATACCTCAATGGCCTAATGCATTATTTTTTTTTTCATAAACTTTAAAAAGATATTCACACCCTTAAAATAGTATATTAATTTAGTAGTTTAGATAATTAAGTTAGACAAAAATTATTTACAGAACGAATTCAAAAGTTGAAAAGAAAGTTAGGGGAAAGCACATTTTGGACGAAATAATTTTATTTAAAACTTTAAAAAAGTTAACAAAATATAATTAACAGGGTTAATAAAAAATAACAATAAATTTTTTAAAATGACATAGAAAATTTTTTAAAAAAATTTAGTACGTGTGTAATGTTAAAAACTATATATCTAATTATTATACAAAATAAATAAAATATAATAACAATACAATTTTTATGATGTCATTTAATTGTAAATTATCACATTAATGATAATTATTAAATTTAATAATAATTAATTTAAAATTTGTATATTGTATAATTTAATTGATTAACAATATAAAAATAGTTACACTGATATTGTATCAAAATTAAACTTTACAAAAAGTTTCACAAAATTAAATTGTATATAATTTGGAAAATTATAAATTTGGTTATATTAATTAATTTTAAATTATTCTTAGTTAATACAATAAATTGTAAATATTTTAAATTTAAATCTTTCTCAAAGTTATTAATTATACATAGTATATATAGATATTTCTTATGTTTAATTCTGTATCTTAATGTTAGGTCTAAATTTTGTCTATTATTATTATTATTATTATTATTATTATTATTATTATGTAATTCGTTATCTCCTTTTCTTTTTCTTGTAATGTTGCTAATTGATTTCGTCAACTTATTTATTTTCATAATGGTTAAAAAAAGTAGTTTCTAATGATTAAAACCAAATTGTAACACAATAAAATTCAAAAACTCAAATTGCAAATAATAACAAATTAATCTGAGACCTAAAAGTAAGCTACGGGATTAAACATATACTTTTTTTACATTCATTGTGTATATAGTGAATAAGGTTTATTTGTAAAATAGTGATAGCTTTATTTTAGCTTAATATTTATATTTTTGCGTTAATATATTTATAAATTATAAATTTTTTAATTTTTTAAAATGAAAATTTAAGTGTATCTATTTATTTATTTTTTTCTACTAAAGATATTATTTTAACACTTAATTTGAGTATATCCTAGAAATCATGTACGGTATAGGATTACGCGATAGATCAGCACAATAGTGTTAGTATTTTCGATGTATGTGTCTGTATTGTTTATATCCGTGCTTCTTAAATTGTAGTTTCAACGTTTAACCTGAGAAAAAAATTGGCTTGAATAGACTTATGATTAGAGAGAGCTAAATTGTCGTATTTGGTAATGGAGAAAAAGTACTGTTCCCACTCGCAATAACATGCATGCCAGGTGAGCTTGAATGTTCAAGGTTTTTCACACATTGATTGAGTCATGACTTCCACGGATGCGAATCTATTTCAGTTAACGTATAATTGGACGTTCAATTTTATATTTTTTTAAACAAAAATACAGCAATGATAAAAAAGTTTTTTATACAAAATTAGTTTAAATAATTTTTTTTTGTTTTAAGCGAAATTTACGTTTTCTCTCTCAATTTTCTCTTTTCTTCTTCTTGTTTTCATGTCTAATACTCTCTCCTCAACTTTCATATTCAATCTTCTTTTTTGTCTCGTATCAAACTTGTTTTTTTTCTATCTCAACTCTCTATTCTCTCTATCTTATCCTCAATTTCTCTCTTCTTCTTTCCACTCTCACCCCACCTTATATCTATCTCTCTCTTTTTTTCACACTTAGTCTTCATCTCCTCAAATGCACAAATTTAGTCATTTTTTATATTTTTGCTTAAGCCAATCTATTTTCGTTTAAACAAAAATGAAATTGTACGTCCAATTTTTACGTTAATTAGAGTGGATCCACATCTGACTTCCACCATCACCTATAATTAATGTGTCAGATATATTATTTATATAATAATATTTTATAATATTACTTTTATTCTGTTCGCTCTTAATTGTATAATTATTTTATTCTCTTTTCTTTTTCTCAAATGTTTTTAAAAATAATTATATAAATTGAATTTCTTTAATAACAAGCATCTACAGGCAGAGCAATATACATTTTACACTTTAACACCGTTTTCAGACATGGGCCCACACAATAGTGAGTGGAAAAAAAATTAGAAAGCACACAGCATGCATTAACCTAAGAAAAAAACACATTATTTAAAGTATTTTCACTTGATAAAAATCTAGCTTTGCTTCTAAACTCGGCGAAGTCACTACCACATTTTGTGCTTCTTATCTGTTTCCCTTATTCTTTCGTTATATAGCAGTGGAATTAATGAGGCGCAAATTTGAAGTGCTTGTTCCTTTTGTTAGTTTCTTGGAAGTGCACCTCTTCTTTCTGTTCCATCACTATTTACAAATGGAATATCCTTAAGGTTCATGGCTCTACATATGTCCACTAAACCTTGACTTGGGTTTTGCCACGGTACACCAACATTTTTTGGTCATCATCCACTTTCATTGTGTGCTCCATCTTTTTGTTACCATTTTGAATTAAAATATTTTATAATTTCATGTCCACCGAACAGTATAGTCCCGGCCCCCTCACCCCAATATTAGCTGATGAAAGCTTTGCAAAGAGTAGAAACGCATTAATCCCCTCCATAATATATCCACTTTAGATACTAAAAATAAAATTCTAGAAAAATCTAGTCTACATCTACATATAAATTGAGAACCAGTGCATGTGAAGTAACACACAAAACCAGGAGCTTGACGTTAGAAGTCCATTACAAGAATGAAAGGAACTCTCTTTCTCCTCCCCTTTGTGATTATTTTAGGACTTTCTCATCTTGCATGCTATACAGCAGTCCCAATTACAAGTACTTAAAATCTACTACCATATATATTTCCAAATTTATTCCTGTGGAGAGATGTAGTTCTTGTTGCTCATCTTCTTGATTATTTTCATTAACAGGAACTAAAAGCCTTATGCAAGATGCCCAAGTTCATCTTGCACTAGACAACCTTCACAAGCACAAGGTATATACAAATTTGATGCCCTAAGTTATATTGCTAATTAATCAATTATTTAATTTGCCTAATGCTTGTCACAAATGATGCATATGCAGGTTATCACTGGGATAAAGTGGCACAGGGAGGAGCCAATTATGGCTGCGAGGATGGGCTTGGAACTCAACGACTACCCACCTTCTGGGGCTAATGGTCGTCACACTCCAAGAGCACCATAGCCATAATCCATAATATGCGTACAAATGTTGTGTGTTTATCGTTAGTACCCTATGAGGTTAGCGTATTACAATCTTATGATGTCGACCCAGTCATAAGTAACATATATATTGTTTAACAAATTAGTAGACATAAGCAGTTATATGTATGGCAAGAAAGCAAAAGGACTAAGTAAACTGAATTCAAAGTGTTCAGTATGATTAATGTCAGAACTCAGACCCTTGTGTTTATTAAAATGCTCCTTATTACACTTTCATTTACACTAACCTACCAAAATGGTACCACTGCTTATTTGATAACTGATAAAATCGTCAATATCAGAGAAACAACATCGAAAATATGAGGGATATATATTGGGTTGCAAAACCAGAGGAGGAAGCCACCCAAGGATAAACTTTATGGACATTATTTTGTGGAACCGAATCTCCTGCAGTTCAATTTGAAACTGAACGAGAGATACACTTCTTTTAACACCCCTTTTCATTTGTTATTTTAATATAAAAACTAATTCAAAGAACAATAGTTCTTGCACTTAGAATAACCGTAAAAGATCCTGATCCCTAATAAAGATAAGAAAAAAAATTATCAACAACAATCTACCCCTGCGTAATAAATTTAAGTTTTCACTCTTAAAAGAGAATATTTTTAAGAATTATTTTAAATATTAATTTTTTTGGAGTTATTCTATTTTCTTCATTATGTCAGAACTTTTTTGTATTGACCATTTACTTTTTAATTTAATTAAAATTTTGAATTAAAATTTTTATAATGTATTTATTAATTTTAAATATTTTATATTTAAAATTAGTGGTATTTAATATGAACAAAATATTTAGTTTGTTAATTTATTAAAATAAAAATAATAATATAAGTATACTTATATTATTTATAAAAGGAATATTTTAATTTAACGACACCTATACAAAGAATGAGGAACTCATAACTTATTCATATAAAAATAATATAGTAATAAAATGTCTACATAATGTCTCTTTCCCTAAATTATATGAATTGGCTTGAATTATTATAAAAGAAATATGGTAATATATTACCTAGGCTCGACTAAACCTAAGCAACTTATTACTTTCATTCCGTGTCATTTGACATTAATTTTTTTTTTATGAATTAAGAAATTTAAATTTTTTAAAAAGTTATTAATTAAATTTTAATTAAATTTTTTATCTATTATATTAACAATTTTTTGTGTGTGTGGTTTTGGAGTCATCATTACTATAATAAATAAATAAATATTTATTTTAAGGATAAAAATGTAGACAAAGCAAAATTGCTGAAATGTAAAAAATAAAAAAAATACTAAATAAGTTAAAATGAAACTTTTTAAAAATCAATGTAAAGGACATTTTAGAAGATCACATCTATTCAGGGAGAGTAATTTGAAAAACTTATGTAGTTGGACGTATAAAAAGTAGCTGGCGACCTTTTTATGATTTTAAAAAAATAATAAACTCTATAGATAAACTTATTTAAATAGGATCTTTTTAAAATATTTTAATCAACTTAATAGTAAACTGAATAAACTCTCATTTAATTAAAATTTGTTAAATATATTTTTAATTAAACTATTTATTGAAATATACCTTTAGTTATAAAAATAAGGCTTTTTAGGCCATTGAAAAGTCTCTTAAGCATGATGAACTAACCTATTTGAGTAATCACAAATAGTATATTATTATTGAATTACATTTTTGTAGTAATAAATTTAAACTGTATTCTTGTTGACATATTTAAAGGTTAATATCTATTGGATCGATTGTAGAAAAACTTAGACCTTTAAATGATTTGTAGATAGGGTTGGATCAGGATTTTAACATGTTAAATCAGATCTTAACCAAAAAAAAAATGTTAAATAAATATTTCAAACATGAACTAGGTTTCAGAAATAAGTTGAATTAAATTAAGACCTATCGGCCCATTTCCATCCTTACAATTAATTGAGACATCTTAGATTATTATACGTGAGCTATTTGAGAACTTTGTGATAAACAAACAAAAATAATTCATAATCGTTGCATCTGAAACTAAAATCTACTTCTCTTTATATTTATTAAAAAAAGTATCATTTTAAGATTTTATACAAAAAATAAAATAAAATAAAAGTAAAATACACTCAATTTTAATGAAATACAAATTTCTGTTAACTGTCTGTAAATTAATTAGTACGTTTATCATTTTACTCCATTAATCCTTTCTCATTCCATTAACCTTTTCTCATTTCACTTAGTGAACATAGGGGAGAATTATCTCATGGAACTCAGTGCTTTGTGTTTGAACCTAGCCTAAGAAAAATAATTCAGTTAATACACTAAGCTGTATATTATACTATTAATAATTCTTTTTAGTAAAAACGTAAGTATATACTATTAATATATAAAATGTAAATATAATGTATTACTTGTTCAAATAAACTTTTAATTTTACAATAACAATTTATTTTATGCTAGACAAAGACTATACTAATAAAAATTATTTTAATATTTAATAATTTTTCTTATTGGTAAATAAAAGTATTTTATTAGTGTCTTTGGTTGGGTTTTTAATATCACACAAAATAGAACTAAATCTTTGTTATGGTAATTAAATGGTGGCTCAAGAAAATGATAAAACTTATATAGTTTTTTTAACGTATTTTGTGCACTTCTTTTAGTTAGGGTCTCATTTCAATAAATATTATTTATTAAAATTATCATATTATATCAAGATAAAATTTTAATTTTAAATAAAAAATAACACAAAAACAATTAAAAATTGTATCTACATTTTTTATTAAAAAAAACCTCATAACTTGTGTGTTCCAACAAAGATATGTTTAAAGCCAAATAATTAAAATTATCATACACGTAATTAAAGTTTCTCTAACGACTTTTGACATATGTGAAGATGAAACCTAACCTTTTAGGGCTGTGTACTTCTACATATTTCTCCAAAGCTCGAAAGTAGTGTTGTACGTTTTTCTTATTCTCATGTATGAGATCCAACCAATTACTGCGTAACAATTTATTTTTTTTGTTCATCTTTGTTTTATCAAAAAACAGATTTTGTATCAATGCAACTCTAGTTAACCCTTTGTTTCGATTAACGTTGAGTATACTCAAATATAATATACTTTAAAATTAAAAAATAACTCATTAGAATATAAAATAAGCTGATTTTAACAATTTTTTTGTGGTACACCAATTCAAGCACATAACACGAATTACATCAGCACAGCGGAAGTTGATTGAAATAATATACGGAAAGGTGAGAAAACAATTCCCTGAGTTAATGTCAACGGCAAGAATAATCACAACTAAGCTTTAAATAAAGTTCTCGATTCTGAGAAGACATGTCATTCGACGGGACAAAAATTTTCCACCTATGTTTTTTAGGCTTCACTCTTTCACATGTATTTTAATAAGTCGTTGAATAAATTAAGATTAACACAAGAAGTTGTCTTTGAGGACGGAGATACATGTGGCATTAAACCGACAAATAGCCTTTATAGCCCTTCTTTTGGTATTAAAAGATATGGAAATATAAAAGTGAAAACCCAATTGTCGACACACTGCACGTTGCTTGGTGCATTCATAACCAATTTCGTAGAAAGAGAGCTCAGAATGAATCAATATTAATTACTTATTTTGTGTAATCATGTCAGTTGGCCACAAAAGACTAGTGAAATATCTCATACATATAATACAAATATGCTTTAGTGTTCAGTGGAGAAAGTGAAATATAAAGTTGTTGGAATAGACTTAGTCCACAGCTTTCCCTTGTGCCACGGGTCTTTCCTCAATGATCTTCTCTTAGAAAAGTTTGAGGCCGATATATTAATATTCATTGTAGCGTATGAAGTAAGAAGGATTTGAGTACTAAAGGAAATAAGATGAAAACTATTTATTCCTTAATATGGAGATTGAAGTTTAATAAATTAACTTAGAACACAATGATGCGTGTATAAAGCTTCCATATATAAGATTCTAATTTAGATTCTCGTGATTTCTTTGCCATATGACTATATCCCACGTGCGATTAATAATAAAACATACCCACATTACAGTTCCTCATTGGTTTATTTGATTATTAAAATCTAGAGTGCTGTGTTTTGTAGTGCTTGATACGCTATCTAAAACAAAAGCTAGCAAATCAGTTTCCACGAAACTCAGGCAGGGTTTGGAGAGTTCAAAACTTGCCAATGATGATGGTGCTAAATTTGTGAGTTCTTTTATTTTCTTTTCCCAACAAGTAAGTGATTACCATGAACTCTCTGTAATTAATTAAGAGATATACGCAGATATTTACTCCGATATTTGCATGCTTTCGTATTAGAAGAATTAATTATTGTTGTTTTATGTGACGCAACAGACTTAAGAGCTAAGAAATATTAGGGGCGTGAAATGAGACAATTAATTGAAGTTAAACTCACCATCCTTTTGTCTGACATGAAATTAGAGTGCGAATGGTAATATAAATTTACGGTTTATTTAAAATGCATACGGTTTTGTTATTCTGCAAGCTGGTAGAAGTTTTTATGAACAAAAAATAATAATTTTTAAATGTTAACTTATGAAAAGTTACATTAAAAGTAACATTCAATTAATTAGTAAAAGTTAAGTTTAATTTTATTTTTATTCTTAACTTTTTAAATAGTTAAAATTTACAAAATAACAATAATAACTTTTCTTTAGTCATTTAATACATTAATTAATTGTACGACTAGTTTTACAAAATACTTTTAATTCAATCGGTTAGTAATAAGTTACAGGATTTCGGTAATGGGTGTTAGGACTCATAATTTTGTTATTTTTTAAAAAAAAGTTTTTAACTGAACTTATAAATACTATACAATTTAGTTTAATTTGAATTGAATATAATATCAAACTAAAACCAAATAAATAATATTTTACAATTTGATTTGAATTTTTTATTATTTAATTTTTTGTATTATTTTAAAATTTTTTTATTTGCTATTCAATATAGCTAAAAGCCCCATAAAAGAAAAACAAGAAAAATTAGACAATAGCCCTAGAAGTCCAAATACCAAAGTCATCCAAACTCAAACAAAAGTACATGGAGGATGCATCTTCGTTAAAACAAGTGAAAGGTAAAAAAAAACTTTTAACCCTAT